ACAGGACCCACCAGTTGAGAACCCCTGGTTTAACTTACATCCTAAACTACATTGTTTTAAATTGCAATTTTGATTTGTAATCGATTCATTGTTCAGTTGTTGTTGTTGTTGTTGTCGTCCTGACAATCTTTTCTCTGGTTAAAGTGAAACACGGTGTTTGGACTGTAGTTCACTCTGATTGGTTATTTCTCCAGTTAGGTATTAATGAGGTCTCTGTAGGCTTTAGACAGGAACTGATGTCAACACATGCAGGAAAATAACAAGTATTGTCATTATTGATTAATCATCAGATCAGTGAAACATCAAACCATCACTGTGCCAAAGGAGACGTCTGCAGATGTTCTGTTTGACCAGAAGTCCAAAAATATCATGATATTCAGTTTCCAATGAAAGGAGAAAGAAAATCCAGCAGATCTTCTGTTCTGAAGCTAAAATGTGCACATAGTTCACTTTATTTCAGTGTTTGTGCTGAAAAATGACTGAAATGATTCATCAGTGATCAAAATGTTTGCAGATGTAGTTTTAGCTTTAGTCACACGGTGCACAGCTTCCATGTTTTTTTTTTTAGTTCAAGTTGTTTTGCAGCGTCTCTTTGTGCACTGGTGTGTCCTGCTGTCATGGAGTTTATCAGCCCTCAGTCTTGGATTGATCCATTTAGTCCATAACACATGTGGACCATCTCCTGCTTCCATCTGAGCTTCCTCCTCGTGGTTCTTGGTTTCCTCACATTAGCTTTTTCCCTCTTTGTTTGAAGTACCACGAGGTGTTACCTTCCAGACACTAGTGCTGTGACGGTGTGCATCCTCACAGAGTTACCTTTTAGCTTGATTCTGTTGTAACTCTGCTTGGTCCAGACCTGGATCCTCTGGTTGTCTTCATGTTGGCAGCTCTGCACTGTAACAGCGCTGGTACGATGGTCAAAGCATGTGGGGGGAAGAACAAAGGTGAAAAGGCAGAAACAGTTTGTGTGACAGGTGGCAGTCAGCGAGAAAAGCAACTGTAAAGGAAGCAGCAAACATGTCAGCTGGGTTTGAGGTGGAACAAAAAGCAGCAGGTGGAATAAAGAGCAGGAACATGAAGGTGACAACATGATAGACTGTTTTCACAGCAGGACAAGAACTGACTGACACTCAGAACATGTTTTACAATGCTTTATGAAATTTAAAAAACTATTNGGGGGGGTCCGGGTGCCGGCGCCCCCAGTGGTCATGGTCTGTGACTCCTCCCGGTGTGGACGGCCCCAATGGTAGCGTTTCCCCACAATCCTCAGTGTCATGTCATGCTTCCTTTAGTCTAGTGGTGTGTGCGTGTGTGTGTGTGTGTGTGACTGCATTTGCCATATGTGTGTGTGTGTTTGCATGGAAGGTGGGAGGGACGGGTTTTCTTTTACAATATTTTTAAATGTAAAGTTTTTTAAATGCTGTAATGTTTGTAAATGCTGTGTCTCGTTGCTGTGGTGCATGAAAAGTGCTATACAAATAAAATTTGATTGATTGATTGATTGATTGATTGATTGATAAATACAGTTGAGTCCAAAAAGATCCAGAGATATGGGGTATTGTTGGGGAGAGTTGTGTGTCTGTATCTCAATCTGTGTGTCTGTAGTGAGATTTGTCGATGTGTAAAAAGATCTGTTGATGCATACAAAGATATTAAGAGATGAAAAGTCTCAGTGTTTGGCTCCAAGTGCTGGAAATGCAGACAAATCACCAGTTACAAGTCAAGCGGGCCTCACCACTGTCTGTTTTTTTTTTACACATGACTTTTGCGTCACTTCTGCTGTGAGAGATTGGTATCTGTAACGTCACGGTTTCTTTGCCCTGAGCTCAGGCTCACAGGCTCGTTGATTCTGGCTGTGTACCACTCTGCTGCTCTGTTCCTCAGTAGTTGTGCCTCCTGCAAGCCATCAGGCGGCGCTATCCTCCAGAGTCTTTGAGGGAACGAGACATTGTCTGGTATGTGAACAAGTTCAGTTTGCTGAGTTTGTGGGTCGCTGAGCAAAACCTTTCATGGTGGCTTACCTGTGTCCTTACCTGTGTCCTTTCCTGTGTCCTTACCTGTGGAGACACAAACCCTGTTTTAACTGATACATCACTATAAGATCTCATTAGTTTTAGACTCTGCAGAAGGTGAGTAAACACATTTTCACATAAATATGATGTTTGTATGTAGATGTACTTCATATATTTCACTATGCAGCCATTGTGTATTTATGTCCAGTGTATTTTATAGACAACAACATATTTGAAACAAATATTAGCGATGACTTTCCTTATAATAATTTACTTTATGTGATTAAATATCCATCAATGNGCTGTGCTCTTGGGGTCCTTTTGGTCGGCCGGCCTCCTGGAAAGGTTCACCACTGTTCCATGTGTTCTCCATCTGTGGATAATGGCTCTCAGCGTGGTTCTCTGGAGTCCTGAAGCTTTAGAAATGGCTGTGTAACCCTGTCTAGACTTACTTTATTTATCATCTGTTCTTGAATTTCTTTTGGATCGCGGCATTTTGTTGCAGCTTTTTGAGATCTTTTGGCCGACTTCATTTCGTCAGACAGGTTCTATTGAAGTGATTTCTTGATTGAACAGATCTCATCAATCAAGACTCTTTTTTTTTGCTTAAGACCTCTCAGATTCAGGATTTGTTCAACAATTGCAAAAAAAAGAAGTGGATTTTCAAAAAAAGAAGGAAAATATTTCTCAAATACTTTGGATCTATCTGATCAATTTTATTATGAGAATAATATCTGAATGACATCAATAATGATTAGAAAGCTTTTATATGTGAGTAGAAATGGGAGTTGTGGCCTATCAAAGCTGACACAGGTTAAAATAATAATCAATATCCAAACAGCCAGATGGACGTCTTGAATCCTGGGTAGGCTGATGAAGTTTAGGACACTAAGAGATGGAAGTATCATCTACTGGTGTGGAAAGTTTCAATGTCTTCATGCTAAAATATTTCATCTGTTTAATCAAACATATTGATTAAAGACTAATCAACTTGAGGCCTTCTTTATTGAGAAAAGAAAAGCAAACAAAGGTATACATGCATTTTCTCCATTCACCAGAAACTTCTGAACATCTCCTGAAAATGTGAAGACTCTGGGACAAATGTTTCAAGACATGCAGACATCTGAAAGTGTCATCTTGTTCAATCTCCAACTCACAAGAGATTTTATTGAACATTTTTATTGGGTAAAGAAATGATGAAAATGTTGTAATTTCAGCTAAAAAAAATGGGCAGATGTCATTTTGAGATGCCAAAGGTCATTCCTCCGACATTTCAACAGATTGTGAGATGGTCAAGCAGCCACCTTCTCTGAGTCGACACTGAGCCACCCTGTTGTGTTTCTTCCTTTGTCTGATGGAGGAAACATGCAGACCTGCTGAAACACATGAAGACCTGCAGAGGTTCTTGTCCAGGTTTTATCACAGCATCACTTCATCACAACATGTTGGAGTATGTGACAGTTTTCAGTCAACACACTGAAGTGATGACAAAGTCTGCACTTAAAGCACATCTTGGTTGTTTCATGTCAAGTCCATTGTGGTGGTGTACAGAGCCAGAACGCTGAAAACTGTCAGTGTCCAAATATTTATGGACCTGACTGTATGAACAGCTTTTACCTGATTTTATTCACCTCATTGATGGCAGATTCCTCCACCTCGAAGATGAGTTGAACTTTTATAATTTGTTGCTGTCAGTGATATATATTGTTTTTGGGGGTTTTTTTTGTTCTTTTTCTTATTTGCAATGTTTTTCTTGAATTTCTTTGTACTTGTTCTTTTTATAAGTGTTGTGTGTACCTTCAGGTTTTGTGTGTCTTAAAGACTGAAGTTGTTTGTGCAGCGTGCTGGGTAGATCAATAATTCTGATCAATCAAACTTAGTATCTACGTTTAGCTGAAGCTGCTGCTGTGGCCACACGTGACAATGATGAGATAATATTAATGCTGTAACAGGGGTTTGGTTTCACAGGTAGAGGATCATCCTGAGATCAGGGAAGTGATTCAGTCATGTCACTACAACAGTATTAACGTGGACATGAGGCACCGTAAACTACTGATCAGACAAAGATGGAGGCTACAACGTGTGTTGAACTGAGTCTTGGAGCTTTTTATTGATTCTGAACTCTGCTGTTCATTTTGAAGAGGAAAGCCGTGTTCCAGAGTCCAGTTTTCTGTCTTTCCTCATATTTAGCTTCCCTCAGAGAGAAACTTGCAGGTGTTTTGTGTCTTGTTGCTGCAGAGAAGAGTGGCAGCAAGAAATGCTGAGAGGTGTGAATTTATCAGAGCACAATGATATAAGTCAAACTGTTTACACAGATTTTATACATACAAAGATTAGTGTTGTGTTTTTAATTCTACAAACCCTGACAACGTCTTTGTGACGACACCATGTTGTAAATAAATTGTCCTTCTTGGTTTGTTCCTTTTGTTTATGCTGAACTACTCTTTCAGAAGCTAACAAGAGAATGTTGAGGACAAAAGTTGACTCAGTCGTCTGTCATCACATCTGAATATTTACTGATGTTCATATTTAATGATGTTCAGGTCTGATCCATTTCATTTGTGCGGCGTTTGACATCAGACTGTAAATGTTCCACTGATGGAGGTGAAGCTGATAGCAGCAGGTCCACAGCAGAGACATCATCTTTCTACCTGTAAATGTTCACTGAGCTAAAGTCAGTCACAGCATCCTGAGTCAGAGTAGAAACAGTGGACAGAAAATGTTTTTCTAATCAAGACGTCCTCCTGATAACTCTGTGAGTGTGAGCGAGGCTGATGAGAATTCAGTTTCATATCAAATCAGCTGAACCTCTGATGTGAAGAACAACAAACAGGACGTGTCCAGCTGTTGCTGCATCAAATGCATGAAGGAAATATAAAGTGTCTTCTTTGATATTTTCTTTTTTCTCCTATGTATCATGACAGACTTTCTTACTGTGGACTCTCAGAGAGTCACTGTGAAGTCGTGGCCTCAGCTCTGAAGTCCAACCCCTCCCATCTGACAGAACTGGACCTNGAGATCAGGAGCCAAAACTAGAACCACCTGGACACAAATAAAAGTCGATGCTGCAGAATGAAATTTCCAGAACTGCCAGAAGAAGCTTTTGTAAACAGTGTGTGTCTGCTCACCTGCAGCGTTGATGCAAAGAGAAGAAGAAGATTTGGAGGAAGAAGCTCTGCAGCCTGACGGCCGAGTTCCACAAACTGATCACTTCAGCGCTGCAGCTGATCTCCAAGCAGCTGACAAACCCAACAACAGAAGCAAAGTGTCAAATAGACGTTACAGTCATACAGGTTTGTCTTTCTGCATTCAGTAGCTTGTTCCTGGTTGGTTTACTGCGTCTTTATTTCCCTTTGTCTGTCCAGCTTCGACCCTTTTCTGAACCACGGCAGGCAGAGAAACTACAGTTTGACTGGATGTGAATATTTAGTGTGCAGCGACTCCACTGAGATGCTGCTGACTGATGAAATACGTTTATTAACTTTTCCATCCTTTGCAGTCACAGTGCTGCTTTTCACAGAATGAATACTTTTAGTTTTCATCGCTCTGCATTAGAACAATGTTTTTAGCTGGTAACTGTTTGACATCAGTGTTTTTTTCCTTCCTTTCTGTCTCACTTCTTTTCTTTCAGTGTCTAACAGACCAGCATTGCAGTGACGGACTCACAGACTCTCCTCGACATCTGACCTCCACCGCAGGGCCTCTGCGCGGCCCGCCGGCCTCGGCTTGACCATCAGCGCACAGCAGGAGGCTGTAAACAGAATAACCCAGAATACTTCCTTCTTCTCTGCATGGAAACGGTCCAGTCTGCTCAGTGAGGCTGAATTCAGCAGAATTCATGGAGGTGATGGACCTTAATGTGACTCACGGATGTGAAGCAACTGAAGCACAGATTTTAATAAGTTAACGCACATTTTTATCTCCTGTCTGGATGAAAAACAAATGTGAAGTAAACTGTCACGATTTCCTCACTTGAAATTGCCAAAATATTGTTTAATTTGCTAAATATTTTTACTTCAAAACAATGAAACACAAAACAAACGTCAAAGAACAAGAGTCGATGTCGGGCAGAAAAATCAAGAAAAAAACAATTTTCTGCAAAACAACAAATAAAGTTGATTTACTGTGAAAAACTAAAACAAACAAAAAGAGTTAATTTACTGCAAGAAAAAAAAACGAAATGAAGTCAGTTCACTGAAAACCAGCAAGAAAGAGAAGAGACAAACAGAAAACAGTCAAATTACTGCGACGACAAAACGAATAAGAAAACAAAACAAACCTTCAAAATAATATTTTTAAAAAACTGAAAGAAATACATTTTAAAAACAGTTCATTTGTTGCTAAACACCCTGAAATCTAAAGTAAATTTCCTTCAAGAAAGCAAACAAAAATAAATCAATTTACGGCACAAACATCAAACAAACAAGAAGGAATCAATTAGATGCAAACAACAAACGCACATCAAGTAAAACAGAAAGTTAGTTTCATGTAAAACAAACAGTCTTTCTATGAATGATCTTCTTAAATGTAGCTTTTGTGTCTTTCTGCCATTTGGGATGCAATAAAACAAACATTTGGAAATGAAGGTTTGTCTTCTTTTCTTTTTTGGTGACTCTAGAGTCAAATATTGTCGTCACACGAGTCGTTGTGTATTTCCAGTCACATAAAGTCTTAAAGTGTGATTCTGAAGAGCAGAACTTTCTCCTCCTGATTCTCCAGCTGACAGCAGCTCTGAGGGTGAAGCTGAGCTGCTGGGCTCAGAGTTCACGGATTTCTGTGACAACCAGGAGGTGTCCAGTTCAGTTCCTGAGTCCAAAGCCTTTTGTTTTTTTTTTCAATCTCTAAAGACTCCTCGCCACCAAAGCCTCATAGACACCGCCATGTACAACCTCTGACCACTCAACCCTCACAGCTGCTCACCACAACTCTCACACTCTCAGCTCTTCATTCTGGACGCACCTCAAACCTTCACACCTATACAAGTCAATTTCAAGCTTTAACCTCTCATGGCCTCAACACTTCTTAAAACACATTCATCTCTTTCACTTTGTCGCTGGACATTCTCATTCATCCACACTGTGCTCATGATCACAGGCTCACACTTTTACCTCAAGAATAAATACACACTTCTAATGGAGAAGCAGTGATGTTGCAAGATCTCAGGGCACAAACTTGAATGTTAGTGCTTGATTATTCTTTCTTTTGTATGTTGTAGTCAATATAATATGTGTTGTTTGATTAGTACAAAATAATCAACTGATGCCACAGAATTGAATCATCAGTTCTGTGTTTGACTTCTTTCTTCTGTATATTGTAGTAAAGGGCTCCTCTTTATAGAATGGCACCACGTTGGGANTTGTCAGAGATCAGCTGTGATTCTCTGGCCTCAGCTCTGAAGTCCAACCCCTCCCATCTGACAGAACTGGACCTGAGTGATAACCAGCTGCAGGATTCAGGAGTGAAGCATCTGTGTGGTTTTCTGGAGAGTCCAGATTGCATCCTGGAGATTCTGAGGTCAGACATCATGTTTTATTTGTGTGCTGAGATGAAAATGATGTGAAAGTTTTGGTGACACTAAACTGATATTAGACTGATCCACACTGAGGATCTTCATGGTGAGCTCTCAGTTATTTCACTAGTTTAGTTCATCACATGTTAAAAACTGTAAAAAAGAAAGAAACGTTGATCCCACTGTCAGAGTTCAAGGTGACGTCTTCAAATATGTGGTTCAGTCCAAACCCACAGATATTCAGTTTAGTGTGATAGAAAACAGAAAGTCTTCACAGTGGACAAACTGGAACCAGTTTGATGTTTTTGCTCAATAACTGACTCCAACCATCACAGAGATGTTTTAATGTTTTGTCCGTGGACCCACAGTCCAGAAACATGTTGAGGTTAACTGGTGGTTCTAAGGCCACGTTCACACATAGCCAGGTATTTACAAAAACGGATCTACCTCTTAAAAAATAACATTGTTCACACCAGATTGTTTTCAAAAAAATTGGCTTTTTTACTTTTTTTACACAAACCCGCATAAACAAGTTGTTAAGAGCTGCTATGAGCTGCCAAACCTATAGGGGGCAGTGTAACGACATAAAGCCATGCCAGCCAATCAGAATTCTGAATAAAACTATAAACATGGGTGGCACCACATATGACGCTGATGATGCTTTTGTCGCATACTGTGACGTCAAACTACTTCTCTTCCTGTCTATATGCAAACATAAAGACGGAGTTTTTCAAAATCTGCACTTTGCAGTTTTCAGATACGATCATTTTCGGTGACTTGTAGCTTCGTTTACGTGTAAACCAAAGGCCCAACCACCTTGAAATATCGCATTTTTCGCAAGCTCTATAAATTAAATAAATATTTTGTGTGTTTGCTCGCTGTGTGGGACCATGGTATATGCAGATTGAACAACGAGGAGCGTGGTGTTTTAGACTCCGCTGCATGCATTCAAACCGTATAATGCACGGCTCCTTGTTGTTCCACTTGCTAAAAATGCCTCAGTTTTTTGGGACTATTTTATGCAAATAATGCCCGTCAGTTAGCCACAGAATTCTCGCTGACCATGGTATAAATCTTTATGTCGTTGCTTTTGCTGTTCTTCTCGTTTGCTCTCCTCCTCTTCCCGTTCTTCATACGTTTTGTTTCGGCCAAAAATATTCAAATTAACCTCGAAATCCATGTTTTATCGCGTTTCTCTCATTCACATGTCAAGACACAGCTGATCTGCGCCAGCTGATTTGCGCGTTGCTGTGGTGACGCCCAGAGCGGCGTGATATAATACCAGTGATTTAACTCGCCGAACTACGTGTGCGTATACACGAAATTAATGCACGCCAGTTAGCCATAGAATTCTCGCTGACCATGGCATAAAAACTTCTTGATTATATGACGCACAGTGGACAAAGGAACTTCAAGATCTTTGGAGATGGTCTTGTAACCTTGAGATGTTCATATTTTTCCACAGTTTTGCTTCTTAAGTCCTCAGACACTTCTCAGCTCTCCTTTCTCTTCTCCATGCTTGGTGTGACACACACAGACACACAACAAAAAGGCTGAGTTGACTTTTTTACATTGTAACTGTCTTCAGATGTGATTTCTATATTGCCAGCACCTGTTACTTGCCACAGATGAGTTTAAATGAGCATCACATGCTTGAAATAAAATGATTTACCCACAGTTTTAAAAGGGTGCCAACAATTTAGTCCGGCCCATTTTTTTGAGTTTTGTGTAAAATTATGTAAATTTTTCCAACACGCATAAAGTAAATAAACACGTGTATACCACAAACATTTGTAATTGCAACAATTTCTGGGAGGAATTGTGTATTTTCTGGAAATATTCCAGGGGTGCCAATACTTTCGTCCATGACTGTGGGTGAAGTTGTGCTGAAAAAAAAGATACCAAACATGGGCATGGTGAACATGTTTCTATGTGGTATATAAAGACAAAACTAAAAGTATGCAAAAACGGCCAAAACAGACGAAGACCTCTTTGGGTTTGTTGAAGAAATTTTACTCATAGTCCTCATGTGAAGTTTGCTGTAGTGGATGTTTATTAGTATTCCGGTATACGGTGGGTTCACCAACACAGAGCATGAGTCTGTGAAGGTGG